CACACACTCAGCGTCATAACATTGCTCATGTATAGAAAATATTTAGCTTTTTTTTTATGATATTCCCTTGAAAAATGGCGTCCTGTGTCAAGGTTCTTTGTGGTGTTTTTCCACATTTAATACTTTATAAGGTGTCACAATCTAAATATGACTCTATGACTACAAGGGGTCTGTGTTATTCTGAGCTCCCACAGTCCCGCTAAAATACCCCCTCGCTGCCCAAATGTGAAGATGTAGGGCTAACCCACTTCTCAGCAGAGTCCCAGTTCTACAAACTGGCAGACGAGTTTGTCCAATAAACCCTCTGGCAAACGACCACTTTATCTCCGGCAGAGCCAACTAACAGAGGAGCCCGGAAGATGGAGGATGCTTACTTTTTTAATCAAGCTGAGTTGTCCTTATTGGCATTTAGCGGTCTGATAGTGAAGTGAGGCGTGCCAGGCGGACTCGCGGTGTGACAAGCTGGCCCTGCGTGTGGTGCACAGTAAGCTAAGGTTGGTATGGACGCAGGGCCTGTGGAGCTCAGACAGTGTCATTACAGAAATGTCAGTCAGGAAGAAAGAGTAGAGGAGAGGACCTGAGGGAGACAGAGAGGGGGGGGGTGGGGGCCAGGCGATTGAGAGAGAGGTTAGAGAGAGAGAGAGAGAGAGAGAGAGAGAGAGAGAGTGGGACGGGGTAAGACATTCATGTTCACATCATTTCCCTGAGTCGAGCGTTTGTTGTTTGCCTTTTTCCGCTCAGCTGCCCCTTCAATGGCTGCACGCGACGTTAACGTTCAGCACAGAGACAGAAAATGTGACGGCTATTTTTAAAACAGCTGTTAGCCATGCATTACTGTAGACTCCACACACCTGAGCACAACATGTTTCATTTATTCCACTAAAAGGAGGAGATGGATTTTTTTCCAGGCCACTAACGATGCAGCTTTATCTGAAGATTACATTGCAAAAAAGGGCCTATTCATGTTTCCAATGAGTCAATGTGACATCCTCTAGAACTACTTTTTTGTTGTGCCAGCAGTTTTCATTAATCGGGGCATAAAATATGAAAAATAAGAGAGAAAATTCTCACACTTTGGAAGCTACTACCAGGAAAAAGACGGGCTTTTTGCGCGACATTTTTCTCAGACAATTAGTCAATTATCAACATTATTTATAATTAATATTTGAGAACAATTGGGCAACAAATATCAACTCCTGTCGTGCTTTTACACCGCATGTCACACCTACACATTAAACACACTGATGGCAGAGGCTGCTATGTTAAGTGTCAATCAGAAGTAACAAATTACATTCATACACAGCCGACAAAGCAGTAGGAGCAACTTGGGGATAAGTGTCTTGCTCAAGGACACATTGTACATGTGGAGCTGGGAATCAAACCGCCGATATTCATATAGAGACGACTGACTCTACCAACTGAGCCACAACTGCCCAATACTGATCCTGAATTTGAACTAAATCAACATTATGGAAAACAATGTCATGACCAATTTTCTATTTAAAAAAAAGATGGGAGAAATAGCTTTTGCTCTGCTATATGAGCCGCAGACAGTGCTGAGAATACTGACCGCAATGTGTACCAACGTAAGATGACACCATGTCTTAATCACTTAGAGCATTGTCCTTGGTAATACATATTGTGTGAAAGAATTCCCCTCAATATATAATATATATCTGTATATTTAATGACACAGGACAATGCAGTCCCTTCACTGACGACACAATAAATGTTTATGTGCTGGATGTTTCTTCATGTTATGAAACACAGCAATGAGCTTATTCATTAAGCCTGATGGGACAGGACTGGAGCCACTGCTATACAAATGTGACCAAAAAAAACAAACAAATCTAGTCTCTGGGGGCGGGATTAGAGAGATCAGACCAGCTGCAAGGCTACACTGCTTGCTGCTGCTACACATGTCAATTACATAAATACGGCTTCCTGTCCCTACCCCTGCATCGGGACCCTCCCTCCCCTCTTTCCTGTGCCGCTGCTGACGTCCTGCTTGACTTGGCGCGAGACAGATCAGACTCCTGACACCTGAAAAACTTGCCATGCAGCAGGGGGTGACCCACCTTTTCAAGAAAAACTAATGAAGGGGTATTCAATGCTAAGGTGAGTGGTATCCTTTTTTTTCTTCCTATGTCAACAAATCCATCCTGTCCATGACACTCAAGCCCCGGCCCATTTATTTCTCATAAGGACAACGATCTTTGAGTCAGAAATGTGCCAACGTGGACAGGAAGTCCTTCGGGTGTTGAAGGTGTGAACTTTTCTGCAGAAGAAGTCAAGACAACTAACCACCTTAAGACCTTTATTTATAATACTGATCATCTCAGAAAGGCAAGATTGATAAAAGCAAGGGGGGGGGGGAATAATTACAACCAAAAGGGCTTAACCAACTGATATGCACATTTTTCTTCCTTACAGTGGCATCAGAATGGTTATAAAATCAATTTTCAGTTAATTTGCAAATTGTTTCTGTCGCGGCACAAAAACATCTGAATGCTCAAAAAGAAAATCTGAGCAACATTACATGTGACGTAGGTAGCGGTAAGCTGCTAAGCCAGGAAGCTAGTTCCAACATTCCCCTCATATGACTTCAGATCAGTATCCTACATGGACGTTCTCCACTACATGATCCCACTCTTGGCATGTTTATCCAACTTAAACTCCGGTCTATTTAGCTTCATACTGCTGCGATCGCAGATTCAGAAAGTCCCATATCAGCAGTAGCCATCTTGGTAACCTACAATAAGGCCTCAAAGCCACCAGCTCCATACAAGATCATGTTTATGATCAGCCTGACCTCAATTTTGCTAAATTAAATCAGTGGGGGGGACCAGACGTATCTGTCTGAACAAATACCACGCGGATTTGTCTGGTTCCAAAGGATCAATAGCCCATTTATGTTTCTGCTTTACATGAAGTATTTCCAGCTCCATCCTTTAAGCTATAGCTGTTTATTGTTTATAGTGCAGTATTGGAGGAAATAGCAGGACTTCACTTCTCTTTGCAATGTCTGGAAATGAAAAACAACAGTTTCCCCTTAAATGACAATACTTCATGAAAATCTTCGATGAAAAACAATGTGCTCATTATTTATTGATGTCAGAGCTTGTAAGCTGACTTGTAAACAACTACTTGCTACATTAAAAAAAACATCAAAGCGCTTTAAAAGCCAAACTGTCCCTCATGTGTAGTTGCTCACATTAGATGCCGGTCTGGTGTTGGGTGTCTGCGTGCCATAGTTAAGAACACCTGAGAGGTGTAGCCTTCAACACACTGTTAGTGGGGTACCTCATTTGGCTGATTGGAGCCCAGTGTGACCTGTAACTGCACCGCAGCAGATACAAGGGAGGCAAAGCCGTTACCGACACACATGGACACTGACTGGAAAACGTCGCACTCAGCACAATGAGGGAGGAACACAATACTGCATCAAGTGCTCACACATGTAACCCTCTCCACCGCTCGCTGACTGTCAAGAGAATGTGGAAACAGAAACGAAAAGCAGCCGAACCATAAAACTGTTGTGACAACAAGTCGTCATAAGAGATGGATGAATGATTGCATGTGATTTGTGTCAGATGTCTGCTGAGGGCTGCAGCGCTGCACACACAGGAGCAGTGTCATACAGACAGTCCTGCTATGAATGCAGCCCTCGTGCAGGTTTTAATGTTCGGGATAAGTCAACTCTTTTGGTAATTTAGGAGGCTGCATTTTGTGACAGAGGTGTGGAATAAAATCTGACTTAAGACATGAACTTAAAAAACGTAACCTTATTTGTCTCCGGCAAAAGATTTGACGTTTATGTTATGAAATTGTGACATAACAAGAGGATCACATTGTGTGGTGATTTCTAGGATGATCAAATTTGGATGTTTAGACCTAAAAAAAAACTTGTCTCAGTGAAAACATAATAAGGCACACATGATGGTCCTGCTTTCTTTAGACTTTATTTAAAGGTAATAAAAACACCTTTCTTTACAGGAAACCATTGTTTTTACACTACTATTACTTCATTCTAAAAATGTTAAGACCATTAGGCCTTTGTTGAAGTTGCATAATGATTTGTATGGGACACAGAATTTTCGGACTTGGACTTCACACTTAATAAAGCAAAAGCTTTTCAGAATATTACTGCAACCAATTTGTAATGCCACTGAAAATAAATCACACTGATCAGTGTTTGTATCATCTCTCCCTCATCTATATGGGTAAGATGTGAGAAATATTAAGATACACTCGTGAGTATGAGGCTTTTTACTCCATGTGCACCACAAACTACAGTAGCCTATATACAGGAGTGATGAGGTTTAAGCTTAAATAGTGCAATATGACAATTTTAGACTACAGTAGGTTCAGCAAAGTGTAAGTGACAACGAAATAGGCTATAAGATATTTATACCCTCACATGAACACAAATATGGTCAACACAGTCAAAATACATGTTGTTGTCTTCTTTCAGCCACGTATACCGGCTACTCAAACATAATAAACAAGATTACATTCTGTCTTCAAAAACAAACATTACCTCGCCACCAGCTATAATTAAGCCTCCTCTCCTACAGCACAGATCAGTCTGTAATTTTATCCTTGTCTTGCTTCAAACTTAACAGGCAAGGAAAGAGTCATTTTCTAAACAAGTGAGGATTCAACAAGATTTTGTTCATTCTGTTACATAATGAAGAACTCTATAACCCTTTACTACGTGCATTGTATCTGCTGCGTGACTCATAGTTATACATAGTTGTTGTAAAGTCTCTCTTTGTTGACAGAAGGTGAACATTGTGTTTTGTTTTTAAGGCTGAAGATTCATTCAGAAACAGTATTTATTGTCGTTAAAGACCCTCGCTGTCCCAGTCATTTAGCTTCAACCCCACGATCAAAACAGAATCGTTTAACGGGGGAGAAAAAAAACTGCAATTTTAAGTTTTAAATGTCACAATTACAATGCGTCTTTCGATAAAAGTAAAACAAAATGTATATATTACCGTTCTGCAGCGCTGAATCCCTCTGAGATGTCCGACTGCTCTCTCTCTCTCTCTCTCTCTCTCTCTCTCTCCTCGGTCCATCGACTTACAGTCCAATCCACTGGTGTAAAGTCTTGTGAGCGTCCTACGTCACTTCCGGACACTCTGGCTCCGTACACCTGTAAACTCCGGCCCTCACGCAATCAAAGATCATCTATTGAGAAGACAAATCACACAGAAGTTAAAAGGCGCCCCCTCTTCTGTCCAACATTTCTTGCAAGCATAACATAATTAAAATGCTGTTCACATAAACGCTGCATAGGGCATATTACTTCAATATGAAATATGCCTAACACTTCTTACTTTCAAAGAGAAGATTCAAAGAGATGTTTTTTTTTATTCCAAGACTGAGTATTTTTTTAAACATTGCTATTGACTACATTGTTTCATTACATCTCTCACCTCTTAGCAATGTGCAAGTAAATTTGTAGAAGATATCAGGTCATATTAAAAAGGTATATAAGAATAAGAATAATCAGCATTCGCAAAATTTACCATGCAACTATACTGTGCCTAAGACTCAAGGGAGCTGTGGTGATCCTAAAATATGGGGTATGATTTGTTGTTACTAGAGTTTAGTTTCATAACCCTTTATGGTAAGGTCTCAAGGACTACAAAGAGTGGACTACAAATGGCAGCACAACTCAGTTGGATCGCATGCTCTGTGTACTGAACAATAGGCACCATGTCAACATAACACATTGTCCCTTGACAAACAATGACCTGGTAACACAACAATATATCTTTTAGTTCTCCATGCTATGTACCTCAAACTACAGAATAAAATGGTCATGCATATTGTGGGAAGAGTCTCTTCCTAAGGATTCTCCTATTTCTTCCTATTATATATTTTGGTTGTTTGCTTGAATGTTTAGTTTAGTTCATTTAGTTTAATTTAATTTAATTTTAAATTAGTTTAATTTAATTAAATTTAACCTTAATTAAATGGTATGTAAGCATTAAGAGGCTTGTCTTTTTTTCACAGGTTTTTAAGATTTTACTTTGTACATATAATACTAATCTTTAGTAATTGTACAGATGGCTTCTGTTTGCTTTTTACATTTGAACGTAATTGCATTTCCATCTGGAAAAATTGTGATGTATAGGAACAACTATCTAGATTAAACAAAAAAAAAAAAATGAACAGGAACTACCAGACCACATACTCAAGTCCACTGAAAAAGATTTTATTTGAACTTGTTACTTCAAGTAAAAATGGCTATACACATGTCAAATCAGGCCTTCACACAAGTAGATAAAATGGCTCAGTAAAATTCATTTTGATGATTATGTATCTGCTATTATCAACTGATATACATATATAACAAATATTATAATAATCTGACATTACTGGATGTAAACACAGAGAGCAAGAGCACCTAATGAACGGCGCTGTGTGGTGCTGTTTGTAGTGTCGTGGATTGCGAGAGGAGTGAGGGCTCTTCTTTTTTTCCCCCTCTTTGACGCTGTGGATAAAAATAGTTGCTGAATCTTTACAATTGTGTTGAGCAGCCGGGGGTGCTAAACAATAACATAAACAAAGATGTAAGAATGAGTTTGATATGTGTTTTCTTGACTCTGTGGAGGAACACAAAAAAACCTAGTAGCCTATTATGTGTTCATGCAAACCCCTGTAGGAACTTTGCTATCTGTTACGACTGCGCATTTAAGTTCCGCTCAGTTATTGACAGAGTGACAGCGTGATTTCTGAGTTGTTCATTTATGAGCGTGAGGGATAAATAGGAGGGTGTGAAACCGATACTGCTTTGTTTTTGCCACGTGTGTCTGAACCAATAGGCGCCCTCGGAGGCTGCTCCGAAACTAATGCAGGGATGAATGGTTGGCAGGTGGAGAAAACACTGACATGACAGACAACACACAGATATGGAGGAGTTCAGTGAGAGAATCGTCTTATACAACTCAAAAAAATCAGCCAAGTCAGTTAAATTCAGGTTGATTTTAATAGTTAAGCTATTAAGGCAACGAGTGCTAAGGTCACATGTGAAATAAAGTGCAAAATTCACTAACAGACTGACATGCAGGGGCATTAAATGACAATACTAGCAATTTCAGTGGTAGAATAAGATGGAAGAACTTTAATTAAGCAGCAGCTTTAATCAAATAAAAAAACACCCTGTGACATTTCATGTATTTAAAGTTTTACCTGATTACAGAAGTGTAAACAGCAAATAAATAAATACATAAAGTAATCATTATACAATGCTTTCCCTTCAGACGTTGATTATATTATCATTATTGATGTTTTTCACTTTGTTAAAATGTATAATTTTATTTACAATCAGTATATAGCCTAGTTTATGTTCTGGTTGAAAAAAAGGACATACTGTCTATTCTGTCACATAAATGATGCAAAGGTTAAAAAATATGACACTGGCCACTGAAATGTATGTAATAGTATGAAGTAGCAAAAAAATGAGGTACTCATGAGTTTGTGTTATTGGCCAGTCTGCTATAATGAAATATGTTCTTTTTCAAGAGACCACATATGAAGTCTAAAACATGAATAAGGTGTGTGCGATCATTTTACCGTCCAATGACTTTAGTGCAAAATAATTCACAGCAGCATAAATCATGGCTTTAGAGTTTTTTTTTCCCCAAGTGCATTTAGTGCAACAGAAAATCATCTAGATCAGCCTCTAACTGAAGGCTACATGAACCAGCAGGTGAAAACCTGTTGACAGAGAGGCACATTTACAGCTGCAGCAGAATGAATGTCAGAACTTCCTGTTGTGCAGCTCAGCGACCTTCTGCAGAGAGTCTCTTTGGTTCGACGACAGTCTGGTTTTGCTGCTCACCTCCTGCCACTGTAGAGCGCCATTGCTGCTCACCACCTGAAGAAAAAAAGAAAATCATGAAACTAAAATAATTGTTACTTTACTAAAAAAACAGATGCAGACAGAAAAAGTCAAACTCTTCATAATATAGTAAAATACCACCCCCCTCTACATTCAAAACATATGATAATAAATGTTCTCACCACGTTGTTGATATCGAAAAAAAGCTCACTGGTTCTGCTCAGGTGAATGTTTAACACGGTTGTTTTCACCCAGGCATTATCTGTATTCCTGCAGTCATCTACATAATCATCAAACACCTAAAAGAACCAGAGAAAAACAACAACTGCAAGTCAGAATCCTCAAAATCCTGAAAAAAAATCCATCTTTCAATAAAAGAACTAAAATATGTTTTAATCAAAAAACCCTGCTGGAGTTCAGGATTGTTAAAAAAGTTCAACAGCAATACAAACTGCACCCTCTTGATGATTGTAATGTTGATGGACATGTAAATAAGTTTTAATAAAATTCAACACTACAGCCTAAAGGATTTCTTTTGGGCTGTTGTATAAGCCTGCATTAGTTTGAGCAATGTGTTCTGAATAAACTGGCTCAGGACACATCGGTTAGTCTCTATATAAGGTCTCCCATTGGGTATCAAATGAGTGTTTGACCTCATTGTAACAGGGACATCACTTGCTGTCTTTTTTGTTATAATCGTGCATACAATATATCTTATATTTGTCAGTGAGGACCTCTAAAAGTTCAGACCCTGTCAACCTTCTTTTCTTCTTTTCTGATCTATACATTTGTTGTGCAGCCTCCTCGCCCAGCTTTTTGATAATTCCACTTTGGGAGACTCCTGTGTAGTTTCTTTTAGCTTGTTCTTATCCATCACATTATTGTCATTCTTTAACAGTTGGTGCTTGTCTTAGCTAAAATTGCATTTTATGAATTTTTTTTTTTTTTTTATCACTTAAGCTTGTTTGATTAATAAGCTTTTATATTTTTAACAAATTGTAAGTTGGCCTGCAAACATTTGCAAATAACACACGCTTATCCTCTAGTTTCAAGCTGCTGAGTGAGTTTGTATTCATGTAATTATTATTATTTTTTATTCACTGCTTTGCCTTCTTCATTAATTGTCCCTATAGGAACATTCAAACTCTACTTTCAGAGTTGCACAGATGTACCTTTGTTCCCTCTGAGGCTTTTTCAGACAATTTTTCAAACAACTTCTTTCCAAATGTTCTCTTGAGAGTCACTGGTAACTCATCCGCTGATTGAACGGGTCCCTGCAGATTTAAGAATGAAAACAGAACACGTTACATGTTTATTTGAGCAACAAAAATGAAAAAAAAAAAAATGAAAAAAATGAAACCTTGATCTAACATTAGAACTTACCCCAGGTAGAACTAAGGTGCCATGGTTGTCCCAAACTGCCAAGTACTCCAAAACAGATCTTTCACTGTCTCGCCACCTAAAAAAAATCCACATTTAAAGCTTTAAGGCGTGCCGTGCAAAAATATATATGACTTATCAGTCAGTCTTTCTTTGTATAGCGCTAATTCATAACAAATGTTATCTTAAGACACTTTACAAAGAGCAGGTCTAGACCGTGCTCTTTGACCTTACCGTGTCAGCACGAGGTCTACATTCAGATTTGGACCGAGGTAGCTGAGTGCACCTTGTCCCCTGACACCCGTCCTGCCTCCTGGGTTTCTAATGACACACAAGACGCACTTCAGACATCGAGACGTGTTCATAATGTCCCTGAACGTGTTATTTGATGCTTTGTGTATCTTATCTTCGAATCATACCTGTAATTATCCAAGTCTACTGGTTCTACTCTGCACGGAGAAGGAAGAAATGAAATGTAAGAGAAGGACATAGTAGGAAGAGGATGTGATACGTGTAACAGGGTTAGATAAGAGATTTAACATTTTAATCTTAATTTAAAACAAAAAAGTTAATTACTCTATACATTTGATTCAAGTTGGCTGAATGATCTGGTTTTGTTTTAACATGACAATCTTGACCATAGGTACAAATAAATCCTCAAACATATCCTTAAAGAAACTAAACACTTTGTATTATCTTCTCTTTGTTGAAACATACCCATCCATTTGGGCCCCACCGTCTTCAGAGATGTAATAAGGCGGCATGTATGAACTGAAGCTGACCTGGAAAAAACAGAGGACTTGAAAACCAACCAGATCCACTAAACCCAAACTCTAAACTTCTGAGGTCCAGAAACTGGTTCAGATGTTTATGACATACCTCCCATGGCACCTTCTCCTCAGGCACGGGGAAACGTGTGATTTTGCTGTTTGGGTAGTGAAACTGCCGAGCATTCACGTGGAACCTGTCCTCTTTCTCAGATGTGCTCCTCAAAGTGTCGGGGGACTCGTCTGCTGTGGCTGTGGGAAAGATGAAGAAGTAAGCACAACAAGAGGAGGTTTGGTATGTAAACAATCATGGGAATGAGGAAGTCGGGAGCTGACTTAGCGATGGTGGTTCTTTGGAGGCAAAACCCTGAGATTTCAGACTGTCCATAATCCACTGCAGGGCTTTGACTGACTGGGCAGCCTGATGACAAAACAAAAGTAGGTCAGATACTTTTGATTACTGCTTGTACAACATGGAAGATGAAAGATTATTATTATTTTTTTTAATCAGGGACATCTGGAAATAAAATGCAACTGAAGTGTATCATCTATTTTCTGTACTGTGCCTCACTCATTCTGCCTGATGTAAAAAAAAAATACTTTAATATACACGCAGGTGCAAAATTAAGTAAAAAAAGAAAAACAGGTCACAACCTGCTCCTCTAGTCGAGCCAGTCTTGTCGCCATGGCAGCAGAGCTTGTCTCCTCTTCCCTCTCAAGTCGATCGTTCATGGTGGTAACCCTCAGGAGACAAACAACAACAATATATAGATGTCTGGTTCTTATTCTAGTGTTAATGCTAAGTTGTTTAACGTTATATAATATTATGTTTATATTTAACAGTAAAAGTAGAACAAAATCCAAACTCTGAGACAACGATTAAGTCCCTGTATTAAGTAAAGTTGATGTTTGTGAGATCTTACTCAGAGCAAGATAAATAAAGTGATTGTATGAACTTTAATGTGTTCCAGAGACACATGAAAGTGTTATCAGTCTTAAAGAAAGAGTACAGCCGAGGTTAACAATCCAAAACAATGAGCTAAAAGAGGCTCAAAGGCAGACGCTCAGGCAGATCCTGTGCGCTTTGAAGTTCATTTGAACTAAATCCAGGGCTGTGTGTTTTGACAGTGTGGGTCAGGATCTGAACTTAACATAAAGGAAACAGGATGATTAAAGGTGAAACAGGAGAATGGACATTTTGAAGGGTAGTAATGTCTGCTTTATGATAAGTTCATTCCAACAGACTTTTCTTTTATCCCTTATCTGTTGTCACAAACTAGAAGTTTCAACCAAACAGGACTCTCAAATTGAATAAAAAGTTGAGGAGGTGGGATCACACTTTGTTGACCAAATCTGGACTAAAACAATATTCAAGATGTGACAATAGATCTCAAATAGACAGAAGTAGCTCAAACATTTGTTATTCAGCTACAGTGGGCTACAGTCGTTGTGTGGTTTTACTTTTGGGCCGTGTCCAGGATGCGCCGCTCCATGCTCTGATTCTGCTCCTGTTGTGTGGAGAGCAGGTATTGGTCCTTCATCAACGCCTCCCAGGACAGCAGCTCCTCCTCCTCTATCTGAGGAAGCTCATTCTCTGAAAAACAGAGTCACAAATGAATTCTTCACCTTAAATAAGACTGTAGATGCACATAGACAAATGCACACAAGGATTTCAGTTTCAGAGAAATTAGGATCCAGATTCAGAAAAAGGACATTGTGTTAAACTTTTATTTTGAAGTGTTGTCAAACTACTTTCGAGCTCGAAAACGTTCACAATTATATAAGGGACAAAATCGGGAAAATATGTGTGTATGGAACCTTGACCACCAAAATGATCTCTCAACACAAGGTCACAAAGATGGAGTTACCCAACTGGGTAACACTTTATATTAAGGTGTCTGTAATAAGCATTAATAACAGGTAATAAGTCACTTATAAGCCACTTATGAGACCTTATTAGATTATTATTAACACAAATAAGACTATATAAGTGTTAATATAGGCATAATTAACACATTTATTATGTCTTATAAGACACTTATAGGCTCTTATTAGAAACGTACTAACACTTTATATACCGTCATAAACATTAATAAGATGTTTATGAACATTAATAAGACTTCAAGAGTGTTAATTAAACTATAAATTAATTTAGAATTGGCTTGTAAGATATTAATTAACACAAAGAAACTTGTTTATAGACCACTTATCAACATTCATAAGATGTTTATTGACATTGATAAGACTTTATTAGGTTCATATTAATGCCTTATAAAGGTTAATAAATACTTTATTATGCACTTATTAAGAGTTAATAAAGCTCCTCTGCATCTTATGAATGTTGATAAGTGGTCTATAAACAAGTTTCTTTGTGTTAATTAATATCTTACAAGCCAATTATAAATTAATTTATAGTTTAATTAACACTCTTGAAGTCTTATGAATGTTAATAAACATCTTATTAATGTTTATGACGGTATATAAAGTGTCAGTACATTTCTAATAAGAGCCTATAAGTGTCTTATAAAACATAATAAATGCATTAATTATGCCTATATTAACACTTATATAGTCTTATTTGTGTTCATAAGAATCTAATAAGGTCTTATAAGTGACTTATAAGTGAATTATTACCTGATATTAATGCTAATTACAAGCACCTTAATATAAAGTGTTACCCCCAACGGTAACAAAAATGTGTAAGTTGTAAGCATGTTATCGATGTAAGCATTGAAGATGAACCATGTGATATGAGTATATGGCAGGGTTGGAACTGAAACTCTAAGGTTGTAAATAAAAGCCAAGATCCATTCAAAAGAGCATTTTCCTCAAGCAAACAAGTGAAAAGATAATAATCGTACTTATAAATGATCATTGTAGCCTATGATCAGAAAGAATGTTTTGTATGTTTTATCTCTACTAGAGTGATGAAGATCAAACTTGAACGTCTACATGATTAACTTTGACGTTTAGTCTTTGCATAGGCAGGAATAAGTAAATGATTCAAAACGTACTAAACTCTTTGCATATGACGGGGGCCCGACACAACAACAAGAGCCTGATGAAGAGGTAGAGATGGCTGAAGATGATGAGAGGAGGAGGGGCAGCAGGGAGGCTGTGGTACTCCTTTATCAGCTCGTATCTTTGAAACTTCCAGATTGTGTCTGTGTTGTCCTGAACTTCCTGGAACGTAAAGCTGTGAGAAAAAAAATGCATAAAAAAAATAAGAGGATGGCATGGGAATACTACTATGAGTACAGGGAAGTTTGACTCACTTGAAGATCGCTATGAGTAGGTTGAGCAGCAGTATGTTGGCAAAGAGAAGGTAAACACAAAGCATGATGATGGTGAGCCATTGAGGGAAGGCTGGCATTTGGTTTTCATTAAGGATAGGACATTTGGGCTTCAGAGGATCGGTGCCATTCATGCTGCAGGTGTCGATATCAAACGCAGTATCTGCACAGAGACGACAACAGAGAAAGATTTATTTTTGTTGACAAAGACTGAGATTCTATAACAAAGAAATAACACATTTCTCCACTCACAATCAATATTGGTGGGGAAATCTCCAAATATGATAAGGTACGGCTCATAAACTGCCCCGCGGATGATCCAGTCCAGCCGGCTGTCGTTGTCAATAAGAATTCCTTGTTTGGCTACACCGTATGCCACCACCCAGATGCTCAGCAGGAACATGAAGAAGAACATATCCATAATCTGTGGGACAAACACACACCAGACATAAGTCATATCTGAAAACTGTAGGGACTTTATATAGGTTCACTGTGAAAACTAAAAAAAATTGGATTATTCAGACTGCATGATCTATACCAGGTTGAACACTTTCCAGTAGGATGTTCCAGTATTTAAACAGTAAAGGGCTCTTTAGGAAATCATGCATGGTAGAATTGGTCATGGATGAAAAAACCTCCAATCTAACTGAGATCCAGTGCGGTACCAGCTGCTACACTTCATTCAAAATCACTTTTGATTTGTTTCTCTCATGTGCAGACAGCAGATGGAGGCCCAGTGAAGCAGAAGCCTCTTTTTTGTCTTTGATAAAAGGTATTTTGGAGCAAAGCGTCTTTTTTTTGTGCTCTGCCATTGCTCCCACATTGCATCAGGTCAGCTGTCGTTTAATTCAAAGTAACCCTCTCACCATCCTCTTGACGATGATGATCTTGGGTCCCAGGGTCTTGCTGATGGTGAAAATGGCCATGAGACGAAGGCAGAACACAACAAAGTCGATGCAGAGGACAACTTTGCCCGCATAGAAAAGTTTAGTGGTCAACCTGAAGAAGAAAAACACTGTAAGTCGTGGGCTGGAGAGCAGTTCTGTAGCAAACAGTGATCGTCAGGGAGGAGAAGAACATACCTAAACGCAAGGCCGACAATGAAGAGGAGGATGGACAGAACGTCTAACATATTCCACACATCATTTATGTACATCCTGGCTTTTTTACGAAATCCAAAGCCATCCGGATCATGAAACAACTGAGGAAGAAAAGGCGAAACAGAAATGGGCGGTTTGTGATTTAGGGATTATTTAGTCTATTTAGTGGAATGAGGCACACTCTGAGTGCAGCATCCAACTATGTAGTTAAATTTCACCTCAAATTAATCCAAAGTTACTGCATGGTCACGTTACCAGCCTGCCTCCATTACCATGAACATGCGTATTTGCTCCTCCTTGATACAACAGAAAGGAGCTGCTGAGGGACAGATGTGCCCCAGATGCATTCCACACCACCAACCCATAGGTGGCAGCAGAGGGATATGTCCCATGAATTGAGACATAAAGAGTGGGTCATGCAGTGTTGAGGTATATCCATGTTATCTCCACCTGTTTATTGATCAATTTAGTAACAGACATAGAGGTGGAGTTCAGGAGGGCCTTAAGCTTCTTGGCAAACAGCTACAATGTGCCCATCTGTCAGTCAGTTAATCCACACCCCTAATTGTGCAATTGTGGGCATATCCCTGAGCCTTAACATAATCAAAATGGACAAGTCAATAAAAATTCATTCGAAGGGGAAAAAAAATGTCATTAAGGCCAAGACTGTTTTTTGTACCAGGCTGATTCATTCTGTTGTAAAAATATGTATTTTAATATTAGCTCAAACAGCGCTTCCTTGGCTTTTGCAGCCACACTCAAGTCGTTTGACCCCTGAGCCAGCATCAGAGACTTAACCAGAGGAGTAACAGGGGCAAGGCGGTGACAAGGAAAACAGCTCTTTATACCTGTGTGAGTGTGTATCTATGTGCAGCTCCCACTGTTTGTAATGCAATGTAAACTCACATAATGGGACACCAATGTTACACCAATAGAGGATAATTAAACAGGTCTTCCTCATACAGTAAGAAAGCACAACAGCAGTTTAAGACCTCAGTGTATGTTCATCTATACTTCCATAAATGTGAGTCCCAGCTGCACTCTCTCACCTGTCTGACCTCCTCACACACCAGAGAGAGCAGCCAGACGTACAGAAGCAGCTCAGCAGGAGAGGGCGTTGCCTGGAAGTCGATCATCAGCACCACAGCAAACAGGAAGAGGAAGGCAAAATAAGACACAATGTTCCAGTAAAACTTGACCTGAGGAGAGCTGTACAGGCACACCAGTTTGGACCAGCTGCCCAGGATCTTCAGGCGCTGCAGTCTGGCTGCATCACTGTGGACAGAAAAGGTCACTGAGGTCACAGATAACTTCGTGTTTTTTTCTCTCAAGTGACATTTAGAACTTTTGTTTCTTGCTTGTAAGCAGGACTAGAAACTGTCTACTTACAGATGACGACTTTTTGTTCGGAGAACACTTCCTGTCACGTTCTCCACTGTCTTGATCTCTTCATTCTTCTCCGTTTCTCTCTGAATAACTTCATCACGTCTAGAAAGAATTACAATTGATTAAGATTACTTTCAACAGAGAGTGATCAAAGCCGATGAGGAAAAAGTTGTAGCACAAATACATTAATAGATTCAGATATATGAACCTATACACCCCTCCAAAAAACAAATCTGTCATACCCTAATGTTCAGACTAGGTTATGTTTCTCTTTTAATATTTGACTTCCTTCATGTGGTTTTCTTTTAGTTAATGACTTTCCTCTCCTTTCAGGTTCCCTCTGCTGCCTTCTTGTGTCCTCCACATGTTTCACATTCCTCCTCATCCCTACTGTGTCAGCGTCTTGGTCCCAACTGAGTCTCATCACTAAACAACCCAGCTGTCTTCACTTGTCTTGATTACCTCATGTGTAATTAGTCTTTACGCTCCCTGCTGTTTGTGCCAGTTTGTCTTGTGAGAGTAGTATTACAGCCTGTTCTATTTCATTCTTCCTGACCACCAGAGGCAGTTCTTAAGATTGGATTATATCTGTCTCGTGTATGCACAGGTCGAGTATTTAATATCAACAAAGTCACATGTGACCTGGGATGACGCCTGACGTAGCTTAAATAGCCCGCGTCATCAGGTATCCACGATGCAGGTTGTTTACAGAAGGAAGCCGAAAAAACTTTTTGCTTGGAGCCCTGTAACCACGGTTGAAGCTACGGAATTTTGTCCTCCAAGGGCTGCGGTTAGTTACAACGGCTACATTGTTTCACCGTACCGAGCTGTCTGACCAGTGTTTTCGCTGGGGCTCTCAGCGCATTACGGACTGGCTAATGACAGCTTGAAGTTGGACCACTGAGGTAAGTATTAACCCTTCCTTAGCTGTACAGTGATTTCATTTTGAGAAGAGCCTGGCTTCGGGTTTCTTTGGTTGTTTTTTCCGCGGTGAGAAGTGTCTGCGCTTTCACCGTGAGGCTGACGGTATCAAGGTGAGTGACAGCTGATTGTAATTGACTGCTACACGAGTGGGTTCGCTCGTCGAGGCGTGACATTTTTTGTTTGTGTAAAAGAGCAAGGGCTCCCCAGCAAATGGTTTTCACTTGTGGGTTAATGGTAAAATAATTTAGAATGAAAACAGAGAAATATTGAAAAAGAAAAGACAGAACAGCTTAATTGTTTGTTAAGCAGGGCATCTGTAAGCGCTCCCCATAGGTAAACGGAAAGGGAGTTGATTTGATTTGTGGGTGTTTGTTGCCACTGAATGTTTTCGCTCCCGAGTAACACTACCCAGATAGGTAACCATGTCCCACATATTTGGGTCCCATGTTTGCCGTTCATGCATGGCGCCGCTGCATTCATTCAATGGTCATGATGAGTGCCCTATATGCCTCGGTGTGGCACAGCTGAGGGAGGGGCTGTCATATAGTCCGTGCATGAATTGCAGTTTCATGCCACAGGATCTGAAGCTGGGCCGGCTGGCTGAGGTGGAAGGACAGCAGCCTGGAGACCAGCTGCCTCCATCTGGTTTGGCTTCAAGGAGTGGCTCACCGCCGGAATGTGCTCCACCTAGGAAGAGACCTAAGAAGGTGGATGGTTTAGCCATTAAGGTTAATAGACGAGCCGCCGAGTTTGCAGAGATTAAGACTCTGCTTCTTGACCTTCAGCCGAGCAGGGGGGCGGCAAGTCCGGGGGAGGGCCCACCTGATTGGGATGGGGATGCCTTGTCTACAAGGGCTTCCTGGAGCCGGTTTTGTGGGGCCAGTTTGATTCAAGGAGCAGTGGACGTTCATGCTTCTGAAACTGGTTCTCAGCAAATGGTAAGCGGATCCGGAGTTGGTTCAGAGGCTGCCCCTGCTCCAAGCCCACGGCACTGGCACGCTTGGGCTTGGATGAGACCCCGGCATCCAGCACCCCAGCCAGCGCCTTCTTTAGGCGGGTCCCTCCACAGGCAAGCTTCTTTGTACCACCATTCCAGCCATACATTGAGGAGCTCCACAAGTCGCATGACAGACGATTTTCTGGTGAAATGTTCTGATACAGCGGCCTGCATGGGATGTATTGGTAACTCACTGTCCCATTTGATACTGGGCCTATCACAGTCCCTGCAGTCCTCTGGCCTGGATGCATCCGTCCAGAGCCTGAGTGACACATCTTTGCAGGCATTTGCCCTTATGACAAGGGAGCTTGGCAGGTTAATGGAGCGTGGAGTCCAGACGAAACAAGCTCGGTGACAGTTTGCTAGCCTTCAGGGCCCTGCGCCTGCTCTGAGACGACGGCCTGGTGGCTGCCCAAGAACCTCACAAGCCTTTGAGCGGCCTGATTACCACCGACGTGCACCCCACGGTCTGCGCCACAGACCCAGAGAGGTCGGGGGTCTGGGTTTCGCCCCACAAGGGACCCTAATGGCCAGGGGGGCAGGCCCTGATGCCCCAGCTCCGGCCATCGGACGCTTCTCCGAGCAGCACCTCAGCTACTGGAGAAGCTGTACTTCAGACCCTTGGGTGGTGGCCACGCTTTCTCAAGGGTACAATCTTCAGTTCCGACGCCGGCCCCCAGTTTTCAGTGGGGTCCGACATAACACGGTCAGCGATCCCACAGAAGAACGCCATAGAAGGCGTAAATCAGCAGTCACAGCAAGGTGGGGTCTACTCAGTGTATTTTCTGATCCCCAAATAAGAAGGTGGGTTTCGCCCTATCCTAGATCTAAGAGGGCTGAACACATTTCTGAAGGTGTTGCCCTTCCACATGCTGAGAACAGCAGATGTGCTACAGGCCGTGAAACGGCAGAGTTGGTTCACATCCATCGATTTAAAGGACGCATACTTTCATGTGCCAATCGCATTCCATCACAGAAAATTCCTGCGCTTTGCATTCACTGCACTCAAGGCAGGGTTTATCAAGTTCAAAGTGCTCCCCTTCGGACTGTCCCTGGCCCTGCGGGTCTTTACACGGTGCATGCGGGCAGCATTGGCCCCATTACAGGCCAGGGGTATGCATGTCCACCCATACCTGGACGACTGGCTGATCTGTGCCTCGACCCAGAAGCAGTCAGATCAGGACACTTCAGCCCTTCTTCACCATGTGTCACAGTTGGGCCTCACAGTCAATTACGGCAAGAGCTGTCTCATCCCCAGCCAAAGGGCGGTTTTTATTGGATTGACTCTGGATTCAGGTTGTATGCTGGCCAACGCAGAGTGGAGGCCATACTCCAGCTTCTCCTCCATTTCTGGAGGGGCAGGAGGTTACAGTACAGCCTTTTCCTCAGGCTGTTGGGTATGCTAATGTCAGTAACACCAGTGGTGCCACTGGGCCTTTTGTACCTACGGCCCCTCCAGGTTTGGACAAATGGCCTCCATTTAGATCCAAGGGGACACAAGAGAGTCATGGTGTCCAGCCGATGTCTTCTTCCTCTGCGGCCATGGAGAAACAGGGAGTTTCTGTCCAGAGACGTCTTGTTGGGTATAGTACCCTCACGTTGCGAAGTTGTAATGACCGATGCCTCAACTTCAGGTTGGGGGGCAGTGTGGAAGTGCAGAGCGGTAAGAGGGCTTTGGACAGTGCAGGAGGCTACGCAGCTCATAAATGTGCTCGTGCTCCGGGCAATGCATTTGGCACTCATCAAGTTTCTGCCGTATATAAAGGGCAGACATGTTCTTGTGCGTTCCGACAACATGTCTGCAGTCTAGCATATCAGTCAGTTCAACCACAGACTTTTGTTGGTTGCCCTGAACTGGCCAGGGAGGCCCTGGTTTCCACGCATGTACAGTCTTCTGAACGGAGTTCCATGTTGCCTGCCGACACGGCAGGACCTGCTCTCACAGCTGGGGGGCAGCATCTGGCATCCGACTCTGGAGCGCCTGCAATTGTGGGTATGGCCCTTGAGGGGCCTGAACCACTCCTAGCTGCTTGTGACCAAGCAGTTATCCAGACCATAAATGACTCGAGGGCACCCTCCACAAGGTCACTTTATGGTGGAACAGGTGGAAGCTTTTTTCAGAATGGTGTAGAGCCCACAAAGAGACTCCTGGGAGTACCTCTGTGCCAGTAGTACTGCGGTTTCTGCAGTATATGTGGCTGTGATTTCGGCCAGGCATATTAAAGTTGATAACCACACCTTGGGGTCTCACACTCTGGTGACCCAGTTTCTTAGAGGTGCTCAGTGGCGAAACCCTCCGCGGGCTGTTAAGGTTCCCTCGTGGGACCTGCCTTTGGTGCTTGAAGGCCTTTGCCTCCCCCCCTTTGAGCCTCTGGGGCAGGTAGGGATTGAGTGGCTGTCAGCAAAGGCTGCTTTTCTTCTGGCGATGGCTTCGGCAAAACGTGCGAGTGAGCTTCAAGCCTTGTTGGTGAGTGAGGCATGCATGCGATGGAACTCGGATGGCACAGGAGTGGCACTTTGGCCTAAACCATCATTCTTCCCCAAGAGGTTGGGGGCAAGCCACTTTAATCAGGTCATTGAGATGGGAGCTTATCACAGCTTATCCTTGCAGGATGAGGAAGCCAATTCAGCAGAGCTGCTCTGCCCAGTTAGGGCTTTGAGACACTACATCCAGGCAACCTCAAGTTTTCACCACTCTGATTGCCTGTTTATCTGCTATGGCATCCACAAGAAAGGACAGGCCCTGTCCAAGCAGAGGCTTTCCAGGTGGATAGTTATGGTTATTGAAAAGGCCTACAGGTCAAGGGGTCTGCCAATGCCTCTTAATATCAATGGCCATTCCACCAGGAGTGTCTCCACTTCCTGGGCAAAACTACAGGGGGTCCCTCTAAGTGAGATATGTGCTGCAGCCACTTGGGCCACACCATGTACATTTTTACAGGGTGAATGTCACTGCTCCCAGGGCACTGGCAGCAGCTGTTTTTCAGGAACCTTAAGACTGTTCACGGTGAGTTGAGATTCCTCATGACCATGCTGGTATTAGTCATCCAGTGTTAAGAAGTGTCTCTGGCGGTCAGGAAGAATGAAATAGAACGAGAGTTACGTATGTAACTACGGTTCTATGAATTCTGGATGACCGCCAGAGTTCTCCGTCACTCGGAATCTTGGTGAGAAGATTCTGAAGGGGCGTCTCACGTGATGACGCAGGCTATTTAAGCCACGTCAGGCGTCATCCCAGGTCACGTGACTTTGTTGATATTAAATACTCGACCTGCACGTGCACGAGACAGATATAATCCAGTGTTAAGAACTGCCTCTGGCGGTCATCCAGAATTCATAGAACCGTAGTTACATACGTAACTCTCATTTTCTTTGTAGTAGACTTGACTTTGACTCATTTTTGGACCCTGTTTTTTGCCTGGTAATGGTTGTGTACCTCTGCCTGCTCTTTTGAACTTTTGAGCATATATTTGTTGAACTCTAACAATCTTGTTATTAAGAGTTGAGCTTTTTTATCCACCATTTGTGCCGAGTCTGACAAAATTGTTATTGTGAACAGCTTTTTAAGTTCTCTGTTTTAAATGAACACGAATAATTTTGTAAACAACAGAGAAAACAGAAAAAGAGCCGCCACTTGCTGCCACTAGGAGGTATAAAATAAATGCACAAATATTTTTTTAATGTGCATTTTTTTAATGTAAAAGATGTTCTGTGCCAATCCACATGTATGGCCCTTTATTTAATGTAATTATTGTGTGTATATACATATATGTATATATATATTTATAGTGAGTGATTACTTGCTTTTGATTAAGAACCTTTTGTATATTCGCAGAGTATTAGCTATAAATGTGAGGTTTTTTGCAGCTGCATGTTTGTATTTCTCCTAGTATTTTAAACCGTTGTAGCTGTATCACAGTCTTGCTGTGCCAAGAATCATACAGTATCTTGCATCGCGACAACTCTATTGTTGTAATAGACATCACATGCAACGCCTATATTAAAATAAAAGTAAGACATGTCTTTCTACAGACCTAAAAAACTCACCTGAAAACAAGAAATCTAGTGTAGATCAGTGGGAAGAAGACCATGCAGATGAGCACTCTCCACACAGGGTTGACCACTGAGAGCTCGCCACACCAGATCTGAGTCAGACCCTGTTTTTTGCCTGGTAATGGTTGTGTACCTCTGCCTGCTCTTTTGAACTTTTGAGCATATATTTCTTGAACTCTAACAATCTTGTTATTAAGAGTTGAGCTTTTTTATCCACCATTTGTGCCGAGTCTGACAAAATTGTTATTGTGAACAGCTTTTTAAGTTCTCTGTTTTAAATGAACACGAATAATTTTGTAAACAACAGAGAAAACAGAAAAAGAGCCGCCACTTGCTGCCACTAGGAGGTATAAAATAAATGCACAAATATTTTTTTAATGTGCATTTTTTTAATGTAAAAGATGTTCTGTGCCAATCCACATGTATGGCCCTTTATTTAATGTAATTATTGTGTGTATATACATATATGTATATATATATTTATAGTGAGTGATTACTTGCTTTTGATTAAGAACCTTTTGTATATTCGCAGAGTATTAGCTATAAATGTGAGGTTTTTTGCAGCTGCATGTTTGTATTTCTCCTAGTATTTTAAACCGTTGTAGCTGTATCACAGTCTTGCTGTGCCAAGAATCATACAGTATCTTGCATCGCGACAACTCTATTGTTGTAATAGACATCACATGCAACGCCTATATTAAAATAAAAGTAAGACATGTCTTTCTACAGACCTAAAAAACTCACCTGAAAACAAGAAATCTAGTGTAGATCAGTGGGAAGAAGACCATGCAGATGAGCACTCTCCACACAGGGTTGACCACTGAGAGCTCGCCACACCAGATCTGAGTCAGAAGAGCCTAAAAGATGAGCATGTTATCTTATTGAGCCAATCTGAATCTTCAATATTCATTTCTTGTTATTACAAAGAAAGACTTTTACATAAGATTGTGTAGCCATATTTAATCAAGACTGAACATTTAGAAACATGCAACTGATTATTTTAAAGATCACACATTATGCAAAATACACTTTTCATTGTTTTTCTACAACACTAGTATGTGTCTATAGCTTGTCGACACTCCCCACCTCAAACAGGCCGTTTGGAAAATTGTGACATCACAAAGGGCAGTTAGCCCTCCCCCAGGTGGGTGACACTCTCACAGCTAGTTGTTTGTTCTGCACTTTGAGTCTGCCTTTTTCACCGTTATCAATCCGGCATGGTGCAAGAAAGCCTGAGCCACCCAAACCCTTCCAGAGGGGGCGTGGTCAGACACAGCTAATTTACATTTAAAGGTACAGACACAGAAACAGCCTGTTGTGAGCAGGGCTGAAACAGAGGGGTTTATAGGCATGATCAAATAAAGGAAGTGGATTTTTGGAAAGAAATCTCACAGACATGTTTTGGGGTGCTCTGAGACTTATTTAAACTTGTTGAAAAGGAGAATAATATGTGACCTTTAAAACACAAATCCCTAAAGATTATATGAAAGTTGCCTTTACCTGAACTCCTGACTGAGCTATAAAGCTTTTATCATCTGCCTCCAGTGCCAGTCTTAGGCATGTTGTTCTTCCCCAGTATGGTGACGCACGAACCAACAACTTCTGAGCCCGCTCTTCATCATTGTTATTGCACTCACTGAACACACCTGGAATACACAATCACACACACAATGAAACAGGTACCAATCTTGTAATATCTCATAATATCACACCAGAAAAAGCCGCTAATGTCCCATATTGTCTTATACCTATGGCTTGTTTCTCATAGTGATTAGCAAGTTCACGCATGACCTCTGCCTCGTCTGCATCGCTGCCCTCCTCTGCCATTTTCTTCAGGATCATAGTGGCAGCCAGAGCAGCGGACATGCAGTCTCTACACTGTGTTCATACAGATACACAAAGATGCAAGGATGTACACACGACACAAGACACACCAGGTAGTATTTTCAAAGCTCTCTGCAGAAGAGTAAGATCACCTGCTCCCAGGCAATTTCCGCAAGATCTTTGTTGTTTTGGACGACAGCCCAGAGGAAAAGATCTCTGCCATAGTCCCTCTGAGGTTCATCATGTGGAGACTCTGAACCTGCCTGAGATTTAGACAGCTAGAGGAAAGTAAATGAATGTGCATTCATCGAAGAGTTTATGGCATTAGACTCAGAATCAGAATCAAAAATCAAAGCATGACTCTCTCAGAAATGTCAGAGCTGACATAATGTTAAAGTTCTCAAATGTAACTTCTCTCCAGCCATATTTATTTACAAATGCATAAAAAAATTATATTGAAACACAACTAAACACTCAACAGTTGTGGTAGGAAAATAACGACTTGTTAATTTAGTTGGAAAAAATACCCAAAAAAGTCTGGATAAAAGAGACTCACTGATGTAGATGTGTCCTCCATAGTCATATTAAAGTTGCACGTCCTGGTGGAAGGGGGGTAGATGGGCTGGGTGAAGCTGCCTAGCAGGTGGCGCACCTCCTCAGACACATGAGTCAAGGAGATGGTCTCTCCTTGCCTTTGGAGAGCTCGAACCCTTCTATCGAGTGCTCGCCTCTTGCTGCGGCGCGCTCTGTCCACCCGCTTGGCCAACTTGCTCAGAAAGAAGCAGCCGGGCATCTGTTTGTAGAGCTCGCACAGGGTTTCCTCGTCCTGCAGGAAATCTCTCAGACTCACACCATTCTCCAGCAGCAGACTCACAAACTGAGGCTTGTTGCCCACCAGGGCCGAGAACATGGCCCAATGAAGGTCACTGGACTGTGTGGGATTGAACCAGTGCATCAACAAAGGATGAGCATTCCAGTAGAATCATCAAGACTTTACAAATACATACACTTCTCTGATTTGATGGTACAGTCTTTTATACGATCGTATTTCAACTTTCTGTCATTACAGTTCCATTAAACAACGACAACAAAGGTCATCAAAGGATCATATTCCATGTTTTCAAAGTCAAGCCATTTAACTTGTTGTTATTTTAGCAAAGACAGTAGGATATTGTCTCATGTCTGAAAGAGACTGATACAGGTGTCTAATGTGACAAAATGTTGTATACTGAGGAAACCCACCTTCCACTGGCTCTCCTCAGTGAAGATCTCCGTCTCTGCTATGTCCACTCGGTTCCAGGCTATAGCCAGCTCCAGCTGCCTCTTCCAGCACTCAATTCCCTGAGACTCACTGATCCTCGAAGCTGAGAAGAGAATTTGTCACTGTTTACTACATCTCTTTACATTGAGTTAACTGAATGAATGACTGCAAGGGCCACCTTTCTTTCAAACGGCATTTTCTTTACACAACATATCAGTCACTCTCCATGATCAAGGCACTTTTTATTGTGTAATGATGCAACAAAGTCTATGTACTGTCAGGAAATCCTTCATATCTCTCATCACAGTGTCCCAGAAAACAAGGTGACCAAGAATGCTTTTTTTTCCCTTTCCAATTGACCATAAAAAAACAGATCAATTTATAAAGTCAATTTATGGTGATGTAAAGGAGCAAAATGTTACATGGGAAGACATGGAACTGTGTGTGTTCTGTACTTTTTTATTATTTAGGATTTTGACTTACTGTGAAGAATATACTGTAAAATCTGCTGTTGATTATTTTCCTCTCTATAAGAAAAGACATATGTGATGTTCAGCACTTTGATGACTTGCCATGCCATAACCTGAGGTCAGACACTATGATGTAGACCATGAACAACTTACACTGTCTCCTTCCATGAAGCATTCAAAAAACGGTTGTTTATGGTTGTCATACGATAAACTTGTGGTCATGGACAGAAAAAAAAAAGGGATTTCTTCACTGAATTAGCATCATTACTGCCTGGAAATGCAGCTAACCCTTTCATTTCTGGTTTGTTAATGGATCTCAGAGATGGAAAGTATGGATAAAGCATTTATGCTAGAATGATGACTCATCTAAGTGATTGTCCAGTGTGCTGGATCTGCCCATCATTAAGAGCACTTTGTCTCCACATACTTTTATATCAGTACGCATTAAGCTTCCTCTAAACAGGTTTCATCTTTCTTTCTTCAGAAAACAATGAGGAAGAAGAGGTTTGGAAGAAGCATTAAAACATATCAAGTGTGGCTATCAAAGTTTCTGTATAGAAGAAGATCGTTAAGGGGGAAATATCTGCAAGAATATCCGTGTTTTTTTTTATCCTGACATATTTGACACCACAGTGCCGTAACTTAAGATTTCTGGAAGTTGCTTCAAACTTTCTTAGAGTTGGTTTGGCAAAATGCCCTTCCTTTTCCAAACTTATAGGGCCAATTTGTAACATTTCTACTGAATTAAATCATAAAATGACCTTACTATATCATCAAACATTAAGGAAAAAATGCTATTTTGAAGTGCTGGCTTCTCTGACAACAACTCAGCAGCCAGTATATCGCCCTTCTAAATTCCGATTTGGGTCCTGAATGGTCTGGTTTTTGTTTTAACCAGAGAAGTAGGCAGTTTTAAAAGCAAATCAACAGGTGTTGCAGCGATGGAAGCGGGGAAGCGAACTAGTTCAAATATAACTGATTCTACTCGACCAAAAAAGCCTCTGCGTTTTTATAATTAGCTCCATGAGGAGGAAGGTTGTAAAACTAGGATAAATATTGGAGATGCTTTTGAAAAATGGAGAGGCTAGAACGTAGAAAGGTTTCAAGACTGATGCAGATCTGGCTAAACACTGAAGCTTCAGTGTCCGGGACATGGTAACCTGCATGCACATAGACTCTAGGGAGGAGACAGCTCTCTTTAATGTTTTGAATTTGGACTGCGTGCTAGTTGTCATAGTTACATATTGCTCATTTAATGTTGTTTTCTATATCTACAGTCAGTCCAGTAAGACCTGATCATCATTACCTTTGAGTAGCGCTTGTAGAATAGCCACGTCTACATCCCCGTGATCGTCCTCACTGATTCTGAAGATCGTCAGCAGGTGAGGCATGCTGATGATGTCCTGAATCTGAATAATGCAGCAGACACAATCAAGCAAGACCTGAAACTTCATCTGAAAAGCACGTCTGGAAACACGAGTAACAAAGTGCTTCAGAGAGCAAAAATTAAGTAAAAAAAAAAAGTAAATATAACAGATAAGAACAATAAACACCACAAAAAATAAAGGCAATGATCAATTAATATAGAAAGATGCTATTATTGTATAACTATGTTTTTCTTGAGAAGGGACTTGAAAGTAAACTCTAAAATAAGTTCACCAAAGACTTTTTGATCAATTCTGAAAAAAATGTAAACTTGTGAAGAGAGGATGAGATCAGAAGATTTGCGCTAACATCTCATTCTATTAATAAAGAGAGAATTCTGCTCACTCAATAATGTGATCTTTCACTTTAGATGAAAATCTAAAGATGTTATTAGAATAGAATCAGCTTTATTGGCCATGTATGCTTACACACACACTGAATTTGTCTTCAGTAACTGTGCTCTCAATGTACAAAGTTAAACATATATATAATAATAATAATATAACATAATAATAACATAATATAAGCAGAAAAAACACTAATATATACAAGGCTAAATAAGACAATAGTGCAGTGGTGAGACTGAGGTAAGAAGAAAGACAGCTGACACCCTCAACCCTTCCTCAATGACCCCCCCACCCTCCTCCCCAAATGTAAGACATGTTAAACCCTTTTGTTTCTGAATAATTGAATGATGCAATCCCGGATGTTCTTTACTAAAATCAGAAATGTTGGGATGAACATGATAATAAATATATAGTAAATATTATTTACTATATATTTATTATATATATATTTTATTTATATTTTATTTACTTCAGTAATATTGGTATGAATGGTTGAGTGTCATCTGCATACAAAAATAATACCATACTGCTGATTGTTTATAATAAGCTCAATTTCAAACAGCTTGACAAAAAAAAGCCCACTTAACTGTAACTGTTTACCGCTTTTGAAAAACTTCAATTCATGATGAAGAAAAACATCAACTTTAAAAAAGTTTAGATCATCTAAAGAGGTTTCAGAGAAGATAATAATCTGTGGAAGCTTTTTCTTCATCAACCTCATTTCATCAATAAGCTTTGATTAATATCTTCATTTTTAATAGCTATCTATCATTTCTGTTAGAAGGTCTTTTCTTCTAACAGAAATGTAAAGTAATGGAAATTGGTTTGTTCGTGTTAGACGTTCCACCTTGTTCACAAACCTTTTTGGTCCACTCTATGATCTTAAGGTCGGGGAACTTTTCATACTCTTTTCCAAAGAACCGCTTCATCAGCAGGTGGATATGGACGATAGTCACCCGGCTCAGTGGTTGTCCTGCTGCCTGGGCGATCACATCTGCTATTCTCCCAGAGCCCTCCAAGATCACACATGGTGTCCCACACAACATGGCATTATAGATTGTCTGAGTGGAAAAAAACACAAGGCAGTCAGACAAGGCAGCTCCACGGCTAGAGCGAGAGGGAGGGGCAGAAAACTGATTACTCACATTCAGGGTGCCTGGTCCTCCATCTAAAACTACACACACCACAGGGATGGTCACTCCGCTCTCTGGAGGTCAGACGATAAGAAAAATCCATTTAAAATGAACAGCAGGACAGATAGAAAGGACAAGACTTGAGATGTAATCTGAAATTCTTTGTTGGTTTTATTTTCACATCATCAGATATGTTTAACCTTTGTTTCCAAGACGCTTTCTTGAAATGCATTTCTCCAGACGGCTACGCAGCTCAATCTCCACACCGTAGTTTCCGTGGGTGCCATCGTCCACCAGCAGGAAGTGGGTGTGGTTGTTATCGAGGCAGGAGAGTCGGCCCTGGCCCTTAATGTCCATCGGGTAATGTGCTGGAAAACAACCCTGCAGAGAGAGGAGGAGGAGGAGGAGGAGGATGTTGCATCTTGCAGGATGAAACACATACAGTCCATGAAGTGTGTAAATGTAATGATTGTACCTCTGGACGCACCAAAGCGTCCTTATTGTGAATGATTCCCCATGTTGCCACTCCAATAGCCACAATCTGGCCATGAATGGAGCTGCTCAGGGCGTTGTCCCTCACAGCCTGCCCTACATGCTTCATCACACCTGCGTGTGTACCACCAGTGATGATCCATGCACCTGTCAACAACACAGTACATAGTATAGTATTTGGTATAAATTACAAAGGGGATTTACAGATTTCAGATTTCTCCCACTATGCCATTGAAAAGTGACAGATTTAAAATGAATGTTTAATCTATCACACAGCCATAACATGATGACTAGACTCCAGAAAGTCTCTACTCTTGGTCAAGATCAGGTTCCTCACAAAGGGGCGGATACAGGGGGTTGTTTTGGAGGCCAAGCTGCTTCTCGATGGCATTGGGAATGAGGGAAACCTCAGTGTCCTTTTGAGAATAAATAAAAGTTTGAAATGAAATGAAATGAAATAAGAATACTGTATATGCCAACACACTACACTTTTAAATAATAAAGAATGTATGCAGTGTTAAATATCAGAGTGAGTATGTGAGATCAGTACAAAGACAATAAGATTAGTGAGAAGTTATTGAGAAGAAGAAATGGATCTTTGACTTACACAGTGTAAACAGTGAAGGGAGCTAAGAAAACAGGACTAGCAGATACAATAGCATACTTCCTTTACCTCACAGGTAATCATAGAACACCTGCCTGCACAGACTCTCTCTGGCTATTCATTTGTACACCTAGAAATCCCACACACACACTTACACATTTCTCCCAAGCAGGGTTACCTGTTGTCTGGGCCACTTTGATGAGACCTCTGTGGAACATGTTCTTGATTCGAGCCTTCAGGTAGAAGTTTTTGGCACCTCCGGTCACTGAGATCAGCAGGTTGGGAGGGGAGAGCTTCCATTGTTCAGTCAGTAACTGGTACAGGATTTCTGGGCTAGTGTCTGTGGACACTCGTGCATACTGAAAAATAGACATGCAATAAAAGAGAAAGAGTGAGGCTAATGTCATGCAGGACATATTTACATGCACAGAAGTGTTTTTTTATTTTACTGGAGAGAAAGCAAAAGATTCACCTTGCCCGTTTTCTGCCCCAAACCATCAAAGCTAATGTCTCCGAAAGCATCAGTGGGAACTTCATGGATATGTCTGTGTCTGTCCCAAGACTCGCCTGTGAAGTCGTCTGGCTTGATGGCTTCACCCACATGTTCAATCTTTGAATATCCACACCTGCAGACATCCTCTCTGGTGGAGAAACAGGAGCCAATGAATGCTTAAATTTTAAAAAAAGTCCTCAAGACAAAAAAGCAAAGTCAAGAGATAAAAACACATCCGTCAAATTACAGAGGCATGACGTAAATTATTTCTGGACAGACAGTTTGATGGAAAAAAATAAAGAATTAAATTGTCATGTACATCTGACAGCATTGTGGATGATGTCTCCTCCCACATAGACAACAGATTGCAGATGATACAGTATCTCTATGCAGAAGCAGCAACTACAAGGTAAGTAAACACTTTAAACACCAAAATATGACAGCAGAGAGCAGCTGATCCTACCTGACATCTTTCTCAAAGAGGCAGCATTCTTTTTTGTTGATCTTCTCTTTGATCCAGGAGGTGAGGGTGCAGCGCTGGAAAGAAGGAGAGAGAGAAAGGTGCTTACCAGGTCTGGCAGCACTTATCGCCAGACTATGAACCAGCTGGGACTCATTCTTAGCTTCCACCATCCTTGAGACAACAAGGGGGGAAACAGTGCACAGATGCAGCCCGGGATGAGAGCTAACTGCATGACAGCAGAGGAGCCTCTGCAGTGGGTGCTGGCTTTCACTGCATCAGTGATGTCAGAGCTGAGCTGAAGCTGAGCAGACTGCTGGAACCCGATTAACCTTCCTCTTACGGGACAGAAAGTAGTCTGGTGCCAGTTCTGGATCAATAGTGAATTACTGAGAGAGGAGGATTTTTTCCCCCCACAAACTTACTTTATACATCTCAAGTTGCTAAAGGGAAACATAAAATTGTAAGCTACTCAATGTATTAAACTGCTACTTTTTGTGGTTAAAATGCTACATAGAGAATGAGTTTACTTTACATGGCGTTTAATATAACAGCAGCTTATGAGTCAGTCCAAAAAAACCAAGTGAAATAAGCACCAACTTGACCAATCAAAACATTTAAGGTCATCTGGCATATAAATACATCACTGTTCTAATAATACAAAAAAGAAAGTAAAATAACATAATCCAGGACTTTTCCAACATTGAAAAACAGCAGAAACCTCATTTCCTTTTGAAGTATTTCTTTATTGTAAAATAAAAGCCCACATGATATCTTTCCTACACAATGGTTTTATGACATTTTACGACATGCAGAACACAGCTTTTATAATCTCCACAGGTACAGGAAAAAAACATCTTCAAGCTGGATTTATTTTGTATTTTTCTATGTTCATATAAAAGAAAATTATAAAGCCATGGTACCTATGCACAGCTGACAGCATATTAAATGCCAGCTCCTCTAGTTCATTCAATATGTAAACGGACAGATCACTCACCTTTTTTAAACGAGACATCACTTGATTCAGCTGGAGATTGTTCTGCGGCATCTTTTCGATTAATTCCTGTGGCAGAACCATATTCTCAAATGACGGCAACATTCCTAGGAGAAAATAAACAAAGCCCTGGGATTTTTGTCCAACCTTCTGCTTATGGAGGAGGTGTACAGAGTGTGATTCTTCTCAATCTATAAAAGCTGTTGAGCCTGAAACTTTCTGACATCTGCTTTTATCTCGCTGGCACGTGACCTGTTCTGCATTATCTCTACTTCCTGTGAGTGCTCCTGGAAAAGCACTTATCTAGATGGATTTTTAGTAACCGACTTGTATAAAACTGCACATCCTACATATTTGTAGTTCACACTCACCTGTTAATTCAGTCATCATGGATCAGGTGGACAGAGAGGCTTGATTGGCTCCTCCACATGACACAACAAAGATCTTGTGCTTCTTCCATAAAAGACAATCTGTGGCCTCACATTACCACCGAACAAATGTGAATCTGAACAGACTGAAGTACTCACCCAATCTAAGAGTGTCCACGACCATCCACATACATCCCTTTATGCATTTCAGTCACTTTTCAGAGCTGAAGAGAAAAAAAAAAGGAAAGCTCAATCACATCACACAGAAATCACAGAAAGAAATCTATATGAGGTGATATTTTTCAATGACTTTGGCGTCCAGATCATCCTTTACCTGAGATCAAATTCAGCAACATGAGTCCGTTTCCTGTGTTTTGCTTTAAAAAATACTATTTACGGTGTTCAGGTGCTTTGTTTCATGTCTTTCACCAGCCGTTGATGCGAATGTTGCCAGGCGACACCTGAAGTGTTTTACACAAGGGATCTTGTTACTGAAAGGGGCAATGGTTGGCCCTGAACAACTACAATTAGTGAGGATTGTAGTTATCATTAACTAAACCTATAATCGTTTCTGAGTATTATATTGTCTGGAGCTGTACAGAAAAGCAGGAAGGGATTAACAGTTCTACCCTTTTCACTCTGAGTGTAAAGTGACTACAAAGAACACATTTAATTTTAAAGTCGACATTGTTGTCCCTGTTGGTATCTCCTGAGAAAAGTTGTGATAGGTTACAATAAAAGCTCAAGTAGCCTACAGAAACCAAAAGTATCTTGAGGGGATTATTATTTTGGCAGCTAATCAAGATTGATATTTATAATCCCCATCACATGAGTAGATGGTTTGGTGATGCTGTGACCTTCAACCTAGAACCATAATCATGTAAAACTTGTCATGAAAATCCCATCAACACCAAAATAATTTTGTTTTGTGCCAATTAGCAAATGAAAGCATGATGTCAGTTAGCATGTAGCTCTCTGCTGTTTGGCACAGTTTGGAAAGAGCTAGCAGAGTTAGCTTAGCTTAGCAGACCCTCCAGATGTGTTTAATATCTTAACGTCAACAAACAGACAAGTGGTTGGTGTTTCCCGAATTTCCCCACTATTACCATATCATACTGTAAAACTTACAAGAACAATGAATGTCTCTGGAGAGCGTTATTTAGTCTACTACTTAAACATTATCATTAAACACAGAGGCAACACACACCTTGCACCACCTCATTGCTGAGAAGTTTGTGTTGACTATATTTCAGCACTTTGTCACTGTGAGTTAAATCATGTTGGCTCACACAAGGGTTGGTTTTACACAAGGGATCTTGTTACTGAAAGGGGCAATGGTTGGCCCTGAACAACTACAATTAGTGAGGATTGTAGTTATCATTAACTAAACCTATAATCGTTTCTGAGTATTATATTGTCTGGAGCTGTACAGAAAAGCAGGAAGGGATTAACAGTTCTACCCTTTTCACTCTGAGTGTAAAGTGACTACAAAGAACACATTTAATTTTAAAGTCGACATTGTTGTCCCTGTTGGTATCTCCTGAGAAAAGTTGTGATAGGTTACAATAAAAGCTCAAGTAGCCTACAGAAACCAAAAGTATCTTGAGGGGATTATTATTTTGGCAGCTAATCAAGATTGATATTTATAATCCCCATCACATGAGTAGATGGTTTGGTGATGCTGTGACCTTCAACCTAGAACCATAATCATGTAAAACTTGTCATGAAAATCCCATCAACACCAAAATAATTTTGTTTTGTGCCAATTAGCAAATGAAAGCATGATGTCAGTTAGCATGTAGCTCTCTGCTGTTTGGCACAGTTTGGAAAGAGCTAGCAGAGTTAGCTTAGCTTAGCAGACCCTCCAGATGTGTTTAATATCTTAACGTCAACAAACAGACAAGTGGTTGGTGTTTCCCGAATTTCCCCACTATTACCATATCATACTGTAAAACTTACAAGAACAATGAATGTCTCTGGAGAGCGTTATTTAGTCTACTACTTAAACATTATCATTAAACACAGAGGCAACACACACCTTGCACCACCTCATTGCTGAGAAGTTTGTGTTGACTATATTTCAGCACTTTGTCACTGTGAGTTAAATCATGTTGGCTATCTGTAGTACAAAAAAATAAAATAGTAAAAAGGTTAGAATGGGAGTATGTAGCATGGAAGTGGATTAGGACCAGACATGAGAAAGAAACAATGGTGGAGGAAGATTTTTTATTTCCTTGTGGAAAAAGTTCAAATGTCAAGAATGAAGATGATTGTAACTTTATTCTTGAAATTGTATTTCAGTTTATTCTCAACAGTTCAATTTTTTGTTGTTTGCTGTTATTTTCAGGGTCAATTGATGTGCCTGCTGAATGTTGACTGTAGTTTAGGATAACCACCACAAGATGTCAGCACATCACCAATGATCGTATGTCATACAAGTTTTTCATATTTTTTATGTATCATGTTATCTAAATGAGTTTTTTGTTGTGAGTTTAACTGAATGTGGCTTCAAAAGCCATCAAGAAGTATTTGTGCATGTGGTAAAATTTAACAAATAAAACCTCATTAAATACAAATGAATTGTTTAATCAAACTTTAAGGCACAATATGCACACACACACACACACACAATCTGACTAATGTTTAAGTCATGATTTTCTCACTGAATTAGTTGGAATTAAGATAAGAGTTTTGCAGTTTTCTAGAAAAACTATTTTGCATTTCAGCTCAAGTAACTTCAAAATGTAAATTAAAACCGCAAGTGGTGATGAAGGGCCCTCGCACTCCGGTGCATGTCGGGATGTGTCGCGACTGCGGGAGTGCAGCAGCAGCGGAACGTGGCTAAGCAGCAGGTCGTGCAATTCGATTTGTGTAAAAGTCGTAGTACTGGCATGTTGAACTAGGCAATGCAATGAAGTTCACAGAAAATTTTCACGTAGAGCAGTTCAGGCTGGCACTGTCATGATCACTATGAAATTTGGAGGAAATTGAGGTTTGTATATATGATGTAGTACTTACTCCTTGCAGAAGGGGCGCTATGGTTGAAGTTGACTATTGTTATGTCACTGTGTTCAGAGGCCAACCCTGATCATACATGCAAAATTTCAATCAGATTAGACAAAGTATTTAGGATGTAGTACTTCCAGTAGGGGGCGCTATGGTAATGGCATAATTGTATTAAGTTAGATGTGATCAGGCCAGTCGTTACATTGTTCAAGTGAAATTTTGTGCAAATCTGACATAGTATATGGGAGGTAGTACTTATTCTTTGCAGTAGGGGGTGCTATGGTTAAAATTTGTTATTCCTATGTGACTGTGTTCAGAGGCCATCCCTGATTATACCTGTGAAATTTGGAGCAAATCTGACCTTATATATGGGAGGTAGTACTTATTATTTTCAGTAGGGGGCGCTATGGTTACAATTTATTATTGCTATGTGACTGTGTTCAGAGACCAACCCTGATTATACATGTGAAATTTGGAGCAAATCTGACATTGTATATGGGAGAAAGTACTTATACTTTGCAGTAGGGTACCATAACCCTATGGTTATGGTATCATGTATAAAAAATTTGGATATGATTGAACACTGCATGTGCAGCGATATAAGCATTTACTTTTTTGCACATCAAAATTTGCATGCACGCCACGGCCACGCCCTTTGACGAAATAACGTGCAGAGCACAACGGGATATGTTGAACATGTCTAGAACACACTGAGTTTGCGTCGAACGGATGAACGCTTTTGGACTAGCTTTATTTTTCGCATCTGCCAGTCTTTAATTTTATACGTATTATATGTTTATGTATTGCAGTTTTACTTAAACTGTATTTCCGTTTTCTTGTCCATCTTCAAAAGCAACATTTTGTCCATATTTCAACAGAATA